TAAAATGACACTTATGGCTGAATTTTGCAATGTGGCATCCATGGAGCCTCCACATGGGTCCCATGGAGATGTCAAACACCTCTCATGCTTCTGTCCCCTCTTAACATCTACATAAGACACTTTTAGTTAAAAGGGGAAGGTGGATGCTGCAAAGCCAAATGCTAGTTTTGCTCATCACTTCCAAGAAGTTGTCTTGATCGTCTCAAAGGTCCCACTAGTGTCCTTAGAAAGTAAAGATGACAAATGCTACACTCCTGTTTTTATTATTATCATCATCATCATCATCATCATCATCATTATTATTATTATAACAAATAAAACCATCTTTCAGTTATACAGTGTGTTGACTGGGTACATATATCATGTGCACATAACAATATTTATATACGTTTCTTATTGAGTTTACATTCATATTATAACCGATTCAACATTATATCCCATAGTATATCATTACTACAATGTCATTAAATTTCTTGCTTCATTTTCCAATATTCTTAGCAACAAATCCCAAATCTTACTGGATTACATTCATATTATAGCCTAGTCAGCATTGTCTATCATAGTATAATTATTACAATATCATTTAATTTCTGCTTTATTTTCCAACCATCCATAGAATAGATCCCATATCTTATAATACTCTTTTTCTTCTTGCTCTCTCATTGCTAATGTTAGTCTATTCATTTTGACACATTCCAATATTTTCTTAATCACCTCCTCCTCCATCAGAATTTTCTAATTTTTCTAATTTTGAGCAAATAAAATTTTAGCTGCTGGTAATACATGTATGGTCAAATATGTTATTTCTTTGCTATCATTCTCAGGCAAAATCTCCAATAAAAATACCTCAGGCTTTAAATCTACACGGTATTTTAAACTAGTGAAGCAGAAGAGGAACCCATCGACTTGAAGCAGAGCTAAAAAGAGTCATGTCATTTACCTTCTGGGAAAATGGTGTTTAGCGATTGCTCACGCTCATTATGCCAGCCCTTTCCTAAATGATCAGGACCCACTCATGGAAAATGTTTTTGAGAACATCCATGGCACCTTCTCAAATGCCAAACGCATCTGAACCCCCATTTTTTTGTGGGAGGAGGAGTCACTGGACCCTGATGTTGGGAAAAATGGAAGGCAGAAAGAGAAGGAGATGCAGAGGACAAGATGGTTAGATACAATGGTGGGATTCACTTTTTTTTTACTACCGGTTTGGTGGGCGTGGTGTGGCTTGGTGGGTGTGGTGTGGCTTGGTGGGCGTGGTGTGGCTTGGTGGATATGGCGGGGGAAGGTTACTGTAAAATCCCCATTCCCTCCCCACCCCACTAACCTGCTTTCCAGCTCCCTTCTCCTGTGCTGGGCAACGAAAGAAGACCCAGCCAATCAGCTGGGACTTGGGAGGCGGAGAATAGATGGGGGCGGGGCCAGTCAGAGGTGGGATTTGCCAGCTCTCTGAACTACTCAAAATTTCCGCTACCAGTTCTCCTGAACTGGTCAGAACCTGCTGAATACCCACCCTCTGGTTAGATAGTGTCATATTCAATGTACATGAATTTGGGAAAAATATGGGAGATTCTGGGAGCGACTGAACAACAGCAACACAAATGGCTTGTATATTAATTACACATAAATTACAATGAAGTTGCCCTTGTTAAATTTGGTAAGAATGAGGCGGTCGCAAAGACTCAGGCACAACTTACCAAACGAGCCATACTGAATTAGTATAATAAATTCCACATTTTTGTCAGAATCCGCTTTAGATTTTTACCTGAACTAAAATCTGTGCGGAAGATTATCAGGAACTGGTTCTTGCTGCCTAACCTCCCTTCAGCAATTCATATGGAAATAAAAACCCAGTTCATATTTTTTGAACTTATACAGATATTGTAAGAGTGTTACATATCAAGAGTGACATGCTTTTGAATTTTATAAATGCAGTTCCCAACTCAAACGTGGGTGTTCAGAAAAAGTCTTATGAAAACACTGTTTGGGCCAGTACATGTGGTGAAAGAATTTAAATAAAAAAATATACACAACAGAATAACAGAATTGGAAAGGACCTTAGAGGTCATCTAGTCCAACCTGCTGCTCAAGCAGGAAACCCTATACCATTACAGATAAATAGTTGTCCAATCTCTTCTTAATAACCTCCAGTGTTGGACTGCCCACCACTTCTGAGGGCAAGCTGTGACTGTTCATGAGTTTTTCAATGAACTATTTGGAAAACTGAAGTGGATTCAGGAGCCAAACTCAAAGCCTTGATCAATCCCTTCTCGCAATTGTACTGTGCGAAGAAATATCCATCTGGTTTAGTTCCAAGCCAGGAGAAAGACACTGGAAACATGGAATCTGATTGGAAAGAAGGTTTAATGATGAAGCAGAACCACATGGTTCTCGGCAGCTGACCACATGGAGCTGAGAGTGAGGGGGTTTTATACCTTCTCTTGGGCTTTGAACTTGAGCTTCCTGTTCCTGTGCAAGAGCATGTATTCTATTGGCTGCTGACAGATTCCCATGGGGCCATGTAGGGGTTATGTAGAGGGTCATAGCTGGCTCTATAGGCAAAATCCTAGATGTTTGTCTGAGATATACAAATTGTCCTAGATATACAAATCCTAGATGTTAGTCCGAGCTCCCAGGTTTGGTTGAAGTTTGTGAGAGTGAAGCAATGAAGGCTTGTGTTCTGAAAGGGTGTTGGGTAATTCCGATTGTGGCTTAATGGCTTTTTTCCTGTGTTGGATCTTGAGTGAGGGCTAATACTATCGCTCTGCCTTTGTTCAGACTTTGCCGCAGGGAATTTCAAAATATCCTGTCCTGAATGGATTCCTGCCTGCATTATTTGCTTTGCCTGTGAATAGACCTATCTATCTCTTTATCTCTTCAGTGCTGACATCTGCTGCGGGATACTAAAAAAAAAGGTGGGGGCTGCTTTCTCCCTCCAAGAACATATTCTGCCTTTTTAATATTTCCTAAGAATATTTCATTCTTCTAGGAGAGGGGTGGGTGCTAACCTTCTACCAATACCAAGTCTTCTATTTTGCCAAGTTGCATAAGGTCTAATTTTGAGTCCTCACTCCCACCCCTTAGTGCTTAGCGGGGTGGAAAGGGAGTGAGGGAGAGCAGTCTTTGGATTTCAACCAAGCCTCACTTGGCCCATGCTGAGCTTACCAGCCATATTTGGAAAGATAAACATGTAGCCTGCTAAGAGCAGTCAAGAATTTGTCTTGAAACATTGCTCCTTTGGTCTTCCGTGGACTCAGACTAAGCTCTGCAGCCGTTTTCAGTTTGTCAAAGGGAAGGCCTTCTTCCTAGCCCTAATTTGAATGGATTGCGCTGAAGAGAATGAGGGCAAAAAGCAAAGGAACTCCTCTAGCCAGGAGGAAAAAGTCAGAAGGAATTCGCTGTTGTCAGTTTAAGGATGAGCTGGGGAGGAAGGATTGGCAAGCCCTGTTTTTAACTTAAGGTGGGAAGCTGATGTTCTCCCAAAAAGCTGGTGACCCTCAAAGATGCTGCTCCTTTCGCTTCATCCCAAAGGAGCAGTTTTTTACATATAAAATGTTGGCTTTCCAGTTGCAGTTTTGAGATTATATCACAGCCTCTGGAAACCACAGAGCAGGACCGTTCTTTGTCCAAACTCTCCTTCCAAGTGAATCTAGCAGGGCTCTGGGACTTAGAAGCATATGTCATCTTTTCCAACCTGCTTTTCAGACGCTATATCTATTGAGAGTTTTGCAGCGATAATTCAGCACCCGGAAAAATAAACACAGATGGCTGATGCATCTTTATAAACATAAGTAGATCTTACAAACCAGTTGTAGATTTCTCCAACGTGGAGCAAACTCAGACAGAAACATGTTGCAAGTTCAGAGCAGAGCTCCAGTCTTCAGCAAGCAAGCAGGTTAGTTTCATCTTCAATACACAGACTCAGAGCTCAGCATAGCTGCAGAGTTGCAGAGCTTAACATAGAGCCACACCTAGGCTACTTTTAGTTTCAGTTTCTAGCCTAGGCCACTTCTAGTTTCAGTTTCCAAACGATCCTCCTTGGCTGATTTAGTTGTAATGTCTATTCATTGGCTGACCTTGTTACCAAGCTCTATTCCGGTTCATGAATATACCGACAATATCTGGCGTAGGGCTTGGAATGCAGGTACTCTATTGCAGAAGGCAACAATTGAGATTAAGTTGGAATTAAGATTGCCGGGAGAAATGTCAACAACCTCAGATATGCAGATGATACCAACTCTAATGGCAGAAAGTGAAGAGGAACAAAAGAGCCCCTTGATGCGGGTGAAGGAGGAGAGTGCAAAAGTTAGCTTGAAACTCAACCTTAAGAAAACTAAGATCATGGCATCCGGCCCTCTCAATTCCTGGCAAATAGATGAGGAAGAAATGGAGGTAGTGACAGATTTTATTTTCCTGGGCTCCGAGGTCACCACAGATGGGGACTACAGCCAAGAAATTAAAAGACGCTTGCTCCTGGGGAGGAAAGCTATGGCAAATCTAGACAGCATCCTAAAAAGCAGAGACATCCCCCACCAACAAAAGTGCATATGGTCAAGGCTATGGTTTTCCCAATTGCAATGTATGGCTGTGAAAGTTGGACCGTAAGGAAGGCTGAGTGCCAAAGAATGGAGGCCTTTGAACTCTGGTGCTGGAGAAGACTCCTGAGAGTCCCTTGGACTGCAAGGTGATCAAAACGGTCAGTCCTAGAGGAGATCAACCCCAACTGCTCTTTAGAAGGCCAGATCCTGAAGATGAAACTCAAAGACTTTGGCCACTTCATGAGAAGGAAGGGAACTCCCTGGAGAAGAGCCTAATGCTGGGAACGATTGAGGGACAAAGAAGAAGAAGGGGATGACAGAGAATGAGGTGGCTGGATGGAGACACTGAAGCAGTCAGCGTGAGCTTAAATGACTCTGGGGGATGGTAGAGGACAGGAAGTCCTGGAGGAACGTTGTCCATGGGGTCACGACTTCTCAACTAACAACAACAATTGGACAGTGAACTAAAGAAAGGTGCATCTAAGGTTCTCCATATGTTGTTGAAGTCGGTTAAGGTTGCCACAATACAAAAAGGATGCTGAGACCTTGGAAATTATGCAGGAAAGAGCAACAAAAAGGATAAGGAATCTGGAGGCTAACCTGTACAATGAACAGTTAAGGGAACTAGATATGTATAAGGCGTAGAAAATTGTCACCCACGTCTCTCCTAGAAGAATAAATATTTTAGGAAATATTGAAAAGGCAGAATATTATATTTCCCTAAAGGGAGAAATGGACAAACATGCTCTTGGAGACAGAAAGCAGTCCCCACCTTTCTCAATAGCCCTCAGCAGATGTCAACACTTAAGAGATAGGTAGCTCTATTCGTAGGCAAAAATTCCCTGCAGTAAGGTCTGAACAAAGGTAGGATTAGCCATTAGACACAGTAGGAATTGCCCAATGACCCTTCATTGCATCAGCAGTCCAAACTTCAACCAAACTTAGCTCAGACAAACATGACCCCTAGATGGCCCCATGGCAGTCTGACAACAGTCAATAGAATACATGTTCTTGCATAGGAACAGGAAGCTCAAGTTGAAGCCCACAAGTTGCCAAGGTTGGAGACCCTTGCTTTTAAGGACTCTTTTCTTGAGATATGAAATCCTCAGCATGGTCCTACAAGATCTGTTGAAGGAACATACAAAAGGCTTTCTCAGGCCTTGGGTGAAGAATTTATTGCTTTGAGACTTACATCATGCCCTTGAGTTTTACAAAAATTACAGATGGAAAAATACAGTGATAATACATTATATATAAAGGGGAGGGGCGAGTCCCTTCTCTTGTTTTTTTTTTTTTTAAATCAGCATTGAAAAAAAGCCAGTGATGTGGCTTTTTCAGTTATCAGCCCGAACAAAAGAGGCAAAGATGCTGTCTTCTTGGGCCAGCAGATTCTCAGGTGTGTCATTTTCCAAAATGACCCCTCGTTTCATCACAATGACCATGTCTGCAGTCAGGATAGTGTGGACTCGATGCTGCAATTAACAAAAAAAAGGGAGGAGGTTATTTAGTTTTTCGTGGTTTGAGGTAGGCAAGTCAGGAAACAGATAGTATCAAGATAGATGGAAATCTGCTTTATTCTTTTTATTTATTTACTTAATTTTTATTTTGCCTTTATTATTTGATAAGTACTGTAACTCAAGGCACCAAACTTTCCTAATATTCATTCCTCCTTCTATTTTCCCCACAATAACCCTGTGGGGTGAATTGGGCTGAGAGTGACTGGTCCAAAGTCATCAGCTTGGCTCTCGTGCTTAAAGTAGGACTAGAACTCACCATCTCCTGGTGATTGGCCCAAAGTCACCCAGCTGGCTTTCATGCCTAAAGTAGGACCAGAACTCAAAGTCTCTTGAGTTTCTCTTGGTTTCCAGGCCAGCACCTTAAACACTACTCCAAACTGACTATTGAAATAAACTTGAAAGCCTAAGTTTCTCTCAACCCCATCTTAACATAAAAAGAATTAAGGCTGAATTGCAAAGAAACCTTCTTTGCTGATCTCAAAGGTCTGGGTGAGTGAAAAAAAAAAATATGGCAACTTAGCATGGGGCAGCTCAGTCTCATTTGTCTGGGAGCTAACCAGGTTTGGTTTGAATCCCTAGCGCCGTGTAATGGAGTGAGCTCCCATTACTTGTTCCAGCTTCTGCCAACCTAGCAGTTCGAAAGCATGTAAAAATGCAAGTAGGAAAATAGGGACCACCTTTGGTGGGAAGGTAACAGCGTTCCGTGCGCCTTCGGCGTTTAGTCATGCCGGCCACATGACCACGGAGATGTCTTCGGACAGCGCTGGCTCTTCGGCTTTGTAATGGAGATGAGCACCACCCCCTAGAGCCGGAAACGACTAGCACGTATGTGCCAGGGGAACCTTTACCTTTAGTACTTGAATCAGAGATCAACAGGGCATAGAGTGGATTTGGAAATTATAAAAACTCCATAATTTATGTAGAGGGGAACCCTTGCCATATTTCTGCCCAGAAGGCATCATAAGAAAGTCTCCATGACGTCACCAGAGTTGAGCTAGACTTGAAGGGAGAATTTTTTTAAAAAAATCCTTGCTTCCCTGAATTGTTCAAGGTTGTTGGGGAAGAGTGAACACAGGCATGTTTTTGGTACGGTGAAATAAACCTTCCCTTTTCAATCTGTGAGCAAAGTTAGAAAAACCCAGAAAGTGCCAGGCCAAACCAAGACCAAGAATAACCTCCTGGAACTTGGGCAGAGACAAGGAGCAGAAAGAACAGAAAACAGCAGTACCAGAAAGCCAGAAATCTTGCAGGAATCCCTGAGCTGGAGCAACTATTTGTTGGTCTTGACCAAAGTGGCGAAGATGCCACCCTCCTTGAGGAGCAGATTGGCAGCTGAGTCATACTCAGCAACCACCCCATCCGAAAGGACTAAGACCAGGTGGGCATCCAGGATGCTGGAGACCCGGTGCTGGAAGGAAAAGCAAGGAAAAAGCAAAGGCAAAGAAAGGAAATAACGGAAAGAGAACACATTCCAGAAAAAGAGGATACAAAAAGAATTGTCCAATGGACAATCTAGAAAGCCAACGTGCAAGTATAGACACCAATGGCCATAATTATGGTGGTGTTGAACAAGTTGACTGGTGGTCTACTTCAGATTCCCCCCTCTGATGCTCATTCACACATTCTCCTCATCCAGCTACCCCATTTTGTCCACCGGGGAAGCAGCCTGAGCAGTGAGATTGTTTGGCTGGACCTCTAGTTTGCCTCGTTTTAGACCCTTCAGTTTCAGTGAACCTGCCGTACGTAGCAGGGCCAACTAGCTGACTTTCCTTGGGCTCAGAAGCAGGATCAGGCCTCATTAGCCCTTGGAAGGAGAAGCACAGGAAATTGTTGGGCTGTAGGCTAGAGAATTAAGAGAACATTCTGCAAGAAAGCTCTTCCTCCTTCCTTCCTTCCCTTCCTTCCTTCTCTCCCTCTCCATCCTGCTTCCCTCTCCGTTCCCTCTCCTGTCCTCCTCTCTCCCCTTCCTTTCTCTTCCCTCCCCTCCTCTCTCCCCTTCCCTTCCCTTCCCTCCCATTCCATACCCTCCCCTCCCATACTCTCTCCATCCCATAACCTCTCTGCTCTTTCCCTTCCACTCCACTTTTCCTTTTTTTCTTTGGTATACTTTGGTCAGGAACAAATAAAGAAAGATTCTGAGAAAATGCTTCCATTTTTTTTCTATGTTGATCTTCATGCTGGGCTAGTTTGTACAAATGGAAACTACATTTTACTCTGCAGACTTCACTGGTATGCAAAAGTATTATGAAAATAAAAGTAAAGTACAGTAGAAGAATGGTTTTCAAGTGACCAAACAGACAAGGTCCTGCAAACTAACTTAAGATGGGAAGTCAACATTCATCTGGTAAAGACAAGCCACTTCCATAACTCTGCCAAGATGATATTTCTGTGTGTGCTAACATCTATATAGCTACTAAGATTTGAGTCTGTCTCATTGGAGTCTTCATTTTAAAATATAGAGCTTGTCTAATGATGTCCAAACAAAGACATAATTAGGTATCGACAGGAGTGAACAAATATTTCTGTATTTTAGATGTCCTTAATTTCTTCTAGAGAAGAAGGTTCATCATCTGATGGTGTAGGAAAAGAAGCCCATTAGGAAAATGTCTACTTACAGCAATTGTCACAACTGTGCGATCCGCAAAGGAAGTCATTACAACTTTTTGCAAAATGTTTTCCTGGAAAAAGTAAAAACAGGAGTTACCCAAAGATACCTCTGGGATCCGTGAGAAATTCATGTTAACAGGAGTGGTCTTTTAGCTTTGAGAATGTTTTTTCATTAGGCCAAGTCACTATATTTGGAGGTCTGCATGATTTAGATTTACACAACCGTCAAGGAGATGCTCATGGTTGAGTCATGGTTGTCTCAAAGGTGCTTTTCAAAAAGGCAACCAAACTTTCTTGGTTTTTTCCCCCCTTGAAAACGTTTTGCTTCTCATCCAAGAAGCTTCTTCGGTTCTAAAGAAAATGTGTCATGAAGAATTGAAGAAGCTTCTTGGATGAGAAGTGAAATGTTTTCAAGGGGGAAAAAATAAGGAAGCCCAGTTGCTTTCTGGAAAAGAACCTTTTGGGTCACAAAAAATGTCTACAGCAGGAGTGTCCAAGCTTGGCAACTTTAAGAGCTGTGGACTTCAACTTCCAGAATTCCCCAGCCAGCTGCGTCTTAAAGCAGGGGCCTTCAAACTTGACAGCTTTAAGACTTGTGGACTTCAACTCCCAGAATTCCTTCTCCAGTCATGTTAGCTCAGGAATTCTGGGAGTTGAAGTCCACAAGTCTTAAACTTGCCAAGTTTGAAGACCTTTGTCTTAAAGTTAGCAAGCTTGGACATCTGTGGTCTACAGCAAAGGAAAAATTGTGGCTACCCTCACACTCCATGTCCACAAGTTGACCAGACTGACCAATGAATTTACATCAAAGTTCTTGTTAGCACTCATGTTTCATCATGACCAAGTGAATCCATTAAAGTGAGAGGACCCAGGGTGGACTACATGACACATTCTCCTATGCTTCATCAATTTATCTCTGTTGTCATTCCCATCATCTTTTGCCTGAAATGAAGGCCTCATTCTGCCTCAGAGCAAGGACAACTTGGGACTTCATCTCAAAGACACTTGAATGGATTGATCTCCATTTGGGTTACTAATGGAAGATTCCTCAATGCCCTTCTATCTAAAGTTGGAAGATAGGAAACAGACCTGGAACCAGTGTTTGTCAGATGCAAGAAGTCAGGAACCAGGATAGAGTTCAATACAATTTTATTTCATACTAGTCATACCCAAGAATTTACCTGATAGTCAAGGTGAATTGGCATCAGATAAGAATCAATGGACTTTTGGTCCTGAATTTCCTCCAGGGACTCTAAATTAATCGTGCATTTGACCCTGCCCTCAAGCTCAGCCTGGTCAGTGTCCTATCAAGAATCCTCTTTTTTAAAAAAATTCAATTGCAAAAATAAATAAATTGTGTCATGCCCCTGTTGGAGTCTGAATCTGAGGAGGAAGACAAACAGCTGACAGGGAGCGGGAGTGTGGCTCGGTTGGCTGTGGAGGAAACTGGGGAAGGGCAAAGTCCAGCTAGGCAGAGCAGGGGAGAGGTAGAACAAGGGAGAGGGAGTTCAGAGGAAGACCCAGGCCCACCATGTCTTCATCCTAGGGCATGCAGGGAGGAATGGAGAAGAGAGCAACATGGGTTGCATGGTTTATGGGGGAGGAAAGGGCCCTGATTCCCTACATTAGGCACACCTGGGAAGAGAGTTTAAAAGAGATGCAAGCTGAGTATGGTGTCTGCTGGGAACAAACATGAATTTATCTTGTGTTGACTTTGGTTATCTGCATTCCTGGCATCCTCCCAACAGTGTTGAATTACGGCCGTTCCTTCATGTCTGGAATTCCTTCTCTTGCTCTGCTGGACTAATTACCTCATTTTGCCTTGATTGGACTTATAGTTACAATTTTTGTTGACAACGTTTTGGACTTGATTCTCTGCAGCCAATGGCTGTTCCTGGGAGAGTTTTTCTCCAGCCCAGAAGGTAACCAGGACATTGGGGACAAAGTTGGAGCAAATAAAGGGACTCCTACTTATCATTTGACTGAATTGCCTTTGTGCCACACCCTGGGTCATCACAATATGAGTAACCAAGGGCCACAAGTAAGTACACCTACTTACTGTGGCCATATCGATGGAAGCGGTGGCCTCATCCATAATGAGAATACTGCTCTTACGCACAAAAGCCCGAGCCAGACAGAAGAGTTGTCTCTGACCAACACTGAAGTTCTCTCCACCTTCAGTTACAACAGCATCTGGGAATGAGACAGTTAGAATCAAAACAAGATATTCGAAGAGCTGTCTCACCCCAATGGGATCAACCTTCTCTACTTATGCCAGTGGAAGAGGCCAGCTATGGATCCCATCTGCTAAGGAATTCTGCCAGGTGGGATCAAGGAGAAGAATCTTTTCCAGGGTAGTCCCATTCTATGGAACACTCTACCACTGGAGGTGAGAACTTTTCTCATTCTTTAGGCCTTCCAGACGAATATTAAAACCTGGCTGTGCGAGTTGGCTTGGAACCCGGAGTAAGAGGACCTCACCAGAGAAGCAAGAGTGACTGCAACTCCTTTCCATGGGTGTCACTTGGTAATAAATCAAGTTTGCTACAACTCAGATGAACAGCCCAAGGGTTGCTGTGTGCTTGTCAGTCGAACAGGATGAACAGATCTAATTAGCATAGAAAGTTGTTTTGATATACACACCTAGTCCACCAGGCAGGACTTTGACCATGTTCTTCAACTGAGCAATCTCCAAGGCTTCCCAAAGGGTATCATCTGTACATTTGCACTCGGGATCCAGATTAAAACTATGGAAAAAACAAAACAAAACCTCAGTGACCTCAGTGGTTAGAGTGCAGTACTGCAGGCTACTTCTGCTGACTGCCAGCTGCCTGCAATTTGCCAGTTCGAATCTCACCAGACTCAAGGTTGACTCAGCTTTCCATCCTTCTGAGGTGGGTAAAATGAGGACCCAGATTGTTGGGGGCAATAGGCTGACTCTGTAAACCGCTTAGAGAGGGCTGTAAAATGACTGTAAACTGGTATATAAGTCTAAGTGCTATTGCTATTGCTATCGCTAAAACAAAACCACGTACCTCAGTAGGTTTGACTTGTGAACTAGAAATCAAATTAACATCTCAATTTTCTAGATAAAGCCACTGATTCAGTCAATTCATGAGCCACTGAGTTTAATATCTGTTTTCCTCTAGCCCATCTGTGTGTCTTGGCTATTGAAATAGACAAATCAATTACATGTACAAGTAGTCCTCAACTCACAACAGTTCATTTAGTGACTGTTCAGAGTTACAATGACACTGAAAAAAGTGACACCCCCGTTTTTCCATAATTGCGACCATTGCAGCCTCTCCATGGTCACAGGATCAAAATCCAGACACTTGGCAACCGACTCACAGTTATGACGGCTGCCCTGTTCCGGGGTCATGGGATCCCCTTTTGCGATCTTCTGACCGGCAAAGTCAACGGAAAAGCCAGATTCACTTATCAACCATGTTGCTAAGTTAACGACTACAATGGTTGACTTAACAACTGTGGCAAGAAAGGTTGTAAAGGGGGGACAAAACTCATCTGACAAACGTTTCACTTGGCGACGTAAATTTTGAGCTCAGTTGAAGGACTACCTGTATTTGAAGCTGGATTCTCTAGAGCCGTGATGGCGAATCTATGGCACATGTGCCACAGGTGGCATGCAGAGCCATTGGTGCGGGCACGCAAGCCCCAGTCAAACTTACCTGCACTGTGCATGTGTGCGCCTCCCTGCTGACTTTCAGCCCATTTGAGGCCGTTTTTGCCCCCCCAGAGGCTCGAGGGAAGCCTTTGCAGCCTCAGGAGGCCGAAAAACGGGCTTTCCGGAAATACCAGAAGTGCCAAAACGGGCCCGTTTTCAGCCTCCTGAGGCTCCCGAGCCCTCCCACAAGCCTCTGGGAGGGTAAAAACAGCCTCCCCCAGGCTTCAGAGGCCCTCTGGAGGCTGAAAATGGACACTTCCAGTATTTCCAGAAAGCCCGTTTTTCGGCCTCCCGAGGCTGCAGAGGCTTCCTTGAGCATCTGGGAGGGTGAAAATGGCCTCAAACGGGCCGAAAATCAGCTGGGAGGCATGCACATGCGCAGTGCAGTAAGGGGGCAGGGTACGGGTGTTGCATGTGGATGCTCAGGGGAGCGGGGGCGCATTGCATTGAGGGTGCCAGCACACGCATGCATGCTTGCGGCACACCACAAGAAAAAGGTTCACCATCACTGCTCTAAATTCATTTGATACCTTCTACCTAAAGGGAGAAAGTGAAGGGATAGGAGAGATGATACGGACACCTAAAACCTATTATTGTCCCATCCTGGCTGCAGAATATAGTCCCAAAATGACTTGAATCTGCTGCTTTGTAGGAACTTCTCTAACCCCTTCCCTGACTCCAAAGACTAACACCAAAGAACTCTCATGGTCTAGGATTCAGACTCCAAAGAACCCGCTGTAGATGAACCAGTGGAATGTCAGCCTCAGGAGACACCAAGCCAGAAGTCACCTGGCGCTGATCAAAAACAGTGTTCTGACCCAAACCTGGTTGCAAGAGAACAAACACAAGACAAAGGCAGCAGCACAACCTTTTAATGTTGCATCTATAAATCCTGTTTCTTCACAGATAAAAGGCTGCTTCCAACTAATTAGCTCCGACAAGAAGCTAAGGCAAGGCTGCCAAAAAACAACAGATAAGAAATATTTTACAACACAAGAGTTTTCAAATATCAACTGTAATGTCCACGAGGCTGAGTTTCAAAACATCTTTGCTTCCTGCAAAGAACGTTCACTTCACATCTGCCTTTTATCTTCTTGGAGGGGCCATTACTTTGCAGCCTTACTCCTGAGTCGCCCATGCTGTTGCAGCTACTCTTTCCTGCGAGCAATCCTGTGCACACGCGCACTTGGCACAACTTCCTCATCTCTGCTGCCAGCCCCCACAATCTCTGAAGGCATCAGTCCACTCCCTAATGGTCCTGGCATTTCATCTGAGTCCTCGCTCTCCTCAGCCGTCTACACCTGCTGCCGGCTAACCACAACACACAGGAACTGTCAATACAACTGGAGAAGTTTCTTCAGTGTCAGAGTGTGAATCCTGAACCATGAAACAAACCAGGATTGGGCCACACGATCACCCCAGGACTGTGTGAATTTCCCAGATATCATCTCTGTAGCCAACCCTGGGTGTTCTTGCTGACAATTAGTGGCTCACCTACCATTTTGAGTTTAAAAAGTAGCGTAAAGCCGTAAACCATATCTTAAGCTTCTATTTTCTAAAATAAAAGGAAATCAGAATAAGAGAGTTGGAAGGGACCTTGGAGGTTTTCTAGTCCAACCCCCTGATCAAACAGGGGACCCTGTACCATTCCAGACAAGCAGCTGTCCAGACTCTTCTTAAAAAAATCTCCGGTAATGGAGCATCCACAACTTTTGAGGCATATATTTTGTCATTTACATTTAATAATCATATTGGTCTATATTTTTTTATCTGCTGTAAATCTGAGTCTTCTTTTGGTATTAAGGTAATATTTGCTTCTGACCAGGTTTTGGGGAGGCTAGTCTTTAACAAAACTTCATTATAGACCTCAGGCATTGACAGATCTGAAGTATCTTGTAGATGTTTATAAAGTTCTGCTGGCAGCCCATCTGGTCCAGGTATTTTATTGTTGGAGTTTTTTTGTCTTTTAACTACTTCTGTTAATTCCATCGTCATTATTCTTTCATTTAGCATCGCTCTCACTGTTTCTGGTATTTGAGGTAATGCAGCCTTTTCTAAGTATTGTTTTATTATATCTTCTGACATATTTTCTTAACTATAACGTTTTCCATAAAATTCCTGGATTATTTTTTCTTTTTAATCTTCATTTTGGTGGTGAAGGATCCACAACTTTTGAAGGTAAGCCATTCCTCTGATCAATTGCTCTATCCCCCAAAATCCCCAAACTCAACTTCTACATCACATCACGCTTGAGCAGGGGGTTGGAGTAGAAAACTTCCAATGTCCCTTCCAATCTCATATTTTGTAACCAGTATTATCATTCATCTTATCCACTAAGATCTCAATATGTCCAGGGCAACCTCTGGCACCAAAAATTAATCACACTGCAGTCAAGACTGAAGGTAGCTTTGCACTAAAATGTCCACTTTTGTGCTCCTAGTGCCAATGACTGTCTCAAAAAAAAAACCAAAAACCTCCAAAAAAACCCACCTATTGTACACCCTAATGAGAAGAGTCTGTTGCATTTACAGAAAACACTGGATTAGTATCATGACAATGTCAGTGAGGAGTCATTTGAATGGTACATTTCTAGGCACCGTTACACAAAATTGAGCAAGCTCGCACCAGGGTTTGTCCATGCCAGAATTTTCTGGTAAGTTTTCCATTTTTAGCAATTGGAGCTGTAAGTGACAGCATTCAAAAGCACACACATAGAAAAGGATCTGGTGAATTCATTGCAGGACCAGACCCGGGGGAAACTCTGCTCTACCAAATTCCACAAAAACAGCTAATTTTCTGAGCTACAAGAACTTACCGAATCGACCCGCTGAATAAGATAGGATCCTGGAGGATTATAGAGAGCCTGGAACGCAGCAGATCGAGAGGCAGCTTTGCAATGTCAATGCCGTCAATGATAATCCTTCCTGTTTGAAATCATTTGGAGCAAAACAAAAGAGATGGAGCTACAAAACAAGCAAAACACACAGCAACATCCAGAAACACGGGTGTGATCCTGGAAGAAATCACGTGAAAGTTCAAGGGGACCATCAGAAATAAAAAGAGCCCCAGAAGACTACAAATTCTGAAATGTGCAATTAAATAATGGCATGATATTTTAATCCTTTGGAAATAATTTTCCCAAAAAGGCCATGGCTTAGTCTGTGCCCTACAGCTGCAGGTTATGGTACTGTGGAGAAGATCATTATGTCCATTTGAATCCCACTCATTGACAATCAGTGAAGGAAGAAACGAAGGAAGGAAGGAAGGAAGGAAGGAGACAGAAGGGAAGGAAGGAAGAAGAAGGAAGGAAGGAGACAATAGAGAAGGAATGAGATGGAAGGAAAGAGACAGAAGGGAAGGAAGGAAGGAGAAGGAAGGAAAGAGACAATAGAGAAGGAATGAGATGGAAGGAAGGAGACAGAAGGGAATGAAGGAAGGAGAAGGAAGGAAGAAGGAAGGAAGGAAGGAGACAGAAGGGAAGGAAGGAAGGAGAAGGAAGGAAGGAGACAGTAGAGAAGGAATGATGGAACGAATGAGATGGAAGGAAGGAAGAAGGAAGGAAGGAGACAGAAGGGAATGAAGGAAGGAGAAGGAAGGAAGAAGGAAGGAAAGAAGGAGAGAGAAGGGAAGGAAGGAAGAAGAAGGAAGGAGACAATAGAGAAGGAATGAGATGGAAGGAAGGAGACAGGAGGGAATGAAGTTGACAGAAGGGAAGAAAGGAAGGAGAAGGAAGGAAGGAAGGAAGGAAGGAAGGAAGGAAGGAAGGAAGGAAGGAAAGAATATATGTGACTATGATATGTGATTTGTGGATTATCAAGAGATGGCAAAAATAGCTTTTATTGTTCAGACCATGACAAGATGTGGGTAATTTTTTGACTTTTCCTCTCTGTCTCTCCCTCTCTTTTTGACTTTTCTAGTATAACTCAGCCGAGTCAAAAAGTGCAAGAAATTAAGGACTAATGGTAGCCCTTAGTGGTGACTAAGTGGTCACTAGGAACTCCAAATGGGGTATTTTGAAATGACAGCAAATTCAAATGTTACACACATCCCGAACTGCAACTGATTCAGAGTACTTACCATCAAATATGTCTACCATCCTGAAGAAAGCCAATGAAAGGGATGATTTCCCACTGCCAGTGCGACCACAAATCCCAACCTTAAAGAGAAGATTTATTGTTGCTTTTTATATGTGGCATTTAGTGGGGGTAATTGCCAATAGTTATTGCTTAATGATAATTAAAAAGAAGACCTCTTCTTCACAATAGGACGTAACTTAAAAGAAATATTAAGAGTTCCCTTATCTAACATTTTTATTTCTCCCTCTCTGCAAAATGTAACATGAAAATAGAGATAGATAGTCCTCAACTTACAACCACAATTGGGTCCACAACAAGGTTAAATGAATCATGCCCAATTTTACAACCTCTTTTTTGCCATGGTTGTTGCAGTTGTTAAGCAAATCGTGTGGTCATTAAGCAAATCCATAAGTCACTTTTTTCAGTGTCGTAACTTCAAGCAGTTGCTAAGTGAACGGGTTGTATGTTGAAGACCAGCTATAATTGGATATTTCTCTTTTGACTCACAAATTCTAGATATGGATAAATAACTAGAGTCCACCTGTTGCTAAACTTTCTGTGAGCAAGGTATTTTAGCTTCTTCTGCAACCCAACAAGACAGACACAGACTTCAGAGAGTAATTAGGACTGCAGAAAAAACAATTACTACCAATCTGCCTTCCATCGAGGACCTGTATACTGCACGCGTCAAAAAGAGGGCTGTGAAAATATCTAAAGACCCTTCACATCCCAAACATAAACTGTTTCAACTCCTTCCCTCAAAACGATGCTATAGAGCACTGCACACCAGAACAACTAGACACAAGGAGAGTTTTTCCCCGAACGCCATCACTCTGCTAAACAAATAATTCCCTCAAAACTGTCCTACTATTTACAAAGTCTGCACTACTATCACTATTAATCTTCTCATCACTCCTTATCACCCATCTCCTCCCACTTGTGATTGTATGACTGTGATTTTGTCGCTTGTATCCTTACAATCTATATTGACTGTTTCCTAGTACGATTCGATTGCTTATTGTACCCTGTGACTATCATTATGTGTTGTACCTTATGATTCTTGACTCTTGCTGAATGTATCTTTTCTTTTATGTACACTGAGAGCATTTGCACCAAGACAAATTCCTTGTGTGTCCAATCACACTTGGCCAATAAAGAATTCTATTCTATTCTATTCTATTCTATTCTATTCTATTCTATTCTAT